AAATACTTTGAAAATTATTCCTTCCAAATTAATGAAGAAATTTAATAATCTAGGACCATGCATATATTCATCTTACAGTTTAATGCTTTCAGCCTGAAAATGAGAGATCATTGTCAACTGATACAGAAAAGTATCCCAACTCAACTAAAATTTATTAACTTCCAGGCAGTGTTCTAAGAGTTATATCATTGTTTCCTGAATAAAAACAACTTTAAAATCAAGTTTTAATTTTACTGATTTTCCTAGTGACAGACAAAAATATTTACTTTCCTTTATTTTGATAAAAACCAAATACAGATCAACACACTTCAAAACTTGAAAACTACTTTATTCAAAGCAGCATCAAATCCTTGCTATCAGTACTAATCTTTTATGAAAAAACTTTTATTTGTCAGGCAAGTGATGTATATTCTGATAATTACTAGAAACAAACATTTTCATCAATATGTCGAAGTGTCACTTAACTTTTTCATGCTTTTTGTAAATTTCTCTGAGCCATTATTTTTATTTGCTTTGAACATCAAAGAAATGTAATACAATTTTTTTTTTAACTTTTGGTCCTAAGGAAATGAAAAAACCTTGACAAGAATTAAAAGTGTAAATTCACTTGCAAGAAGCAACAAATGAAATTAAACAACATTGCCTTTCTTTCTTTTTGTTTGTATATTTTTAAAGATACTTAAGCAACATTCTTTCCTTAAATACAAATAAAAAAATAATAAAACATAAATATACAAAAAGAGATAAAAAATATGCAGATATTTTAGAATTCCACATGTTTATAGACAATGCAAAATAGTAAATTGACCCATTGCGATAAGAAAACTACAATCGGATAATAGTTTGGCATTTACCAAGTTTATCATGTTGTCTTGAATATGCCAAAACAAAAAAAAAATTAGTTTGGTAAAAACCATCATTTACTCACCTGAGCTTTTAATCCAACTGAATTCAGCAGTTAGATAAGTGATTGGTTTGTACGCATATTTCTTTCTACTGCTGCCACTGTGATTGCTGCTGCTATTGTGCAAAACCAGCATGGGGTCTGTGTTGAACGTAAGTACGAGAGAGCAGCCAGTAGTTGTACTATGTGTGGGGTGTGTGTGATGGCTGATCCACTTACTGACAAGCTAACTAACTTTGACTGAGACAAGAACTTGTGCCCAGCTTCCCTCTCTATGGAGACCACATTGGGGGTTCCACTTCTCTTTTTTTTTTTTTTTTTTTTTTTAGAATCTATGTGAGTAGAATTGAAGACAAACGTTCACTCCAAATTCTGACAGAGAATAGCTTTTCTCTTTTGGGACAATAGCGCTAAACAATTGTACTTTATTACCATACATGAAGACAACTGTTGATTTATTGAAATGCTTACTTATAAACATTGCTAGACACATACAGATGTTTTTTTTTTTTGTTTTTTTTTCAAGGAAATATGCCATTAGGCAGTTATAATCAAAATTCAATTTTAAATCATAATAGATTCATAAAGGACAAATAGAAAATTTGTTTTATTGTGTAATTTGCTTGAATTTTTTTATATCTAAATATTAATGTTGAGTTCAACACAGCTTTATCTCATTCTTGTCTCATACAGACACTATTGATGGCTAATGTCTGCTTATAGACAAATATTTTCTGAGCACAAAATCTGGAAACTCTGGCAATATGAGTTAATATTTAGCTGGAAATCAATATTTTATTCATTTTCTTTTTCCAGAATTTCTTAAACAAGCATAATCTAGGTTAATGTTTTATCTCAGCTGGAAATCAATACAAAATAAAAAAATAAAAAAAAATTACAATTTTTTTTTTTTTTTTGTCACTCTCCAACCCCCCTGCAGAGAGGTAGAGATATATTTATTTTCAGTTTAATGTCTTCCAATACATTTCACCTTGAATTTTTTTTTTTTCATATTTACGTTAACCAAGTCTTCAGGTACAACGGCATCAACAAAAACATATAAAAGTAACAAAAATAAGAATTTTCCCAAGCAACAGTCTGAAAATTATATACAGCACATTAAACATTTGCAAACCAAAAATCAAAATTTATCACAAAGTGAAAGGCTCAGAACTCAAGATTATACCACTTGACAATCCTGAGATGTGTTCAATGTGTGTTTAGTTAGATTAATATATAAAGTTAATATATATATATATATATATATATTTATATATATATATATAAAATGTAGGAATACATTGTTCTTGAAAGTGATTTGGTGTAGATGTTAGTGCTATACTTTATGTATCTGTGTTGTCTGTACAGTGTGTGTTTGGATAGCAGCTACAGTACACAGAGCAGAGGTCCAGAATTAAAAAAAAACAAAAAACAAATATCAGTTAACTGCTCACACAGAGGCCAGAAGCTCAAATATATACAAACAAAAGCATAACACAGTTAATTACAGATTGCTTTAGGTGATATGAATTTCAAGCAACATCTGGTAGGGATATATTTATTTATTTTATTGGTCGAATTCCTTTATTTTTTTTTTTAATATACCAAGTATAATAAGGGTATGAGGTAACTGCATGGAACAGTGGCCAAACCTGTAAAAGAAAATATACAAGTGAGTTTTTTTCTTTATATTTCATATTCGGTTTTTTTTTATTTCCATTGAATAGAAAACATAAATTCATTAGCTGTCTATATCTCTGAGATGAGGTATTATGATTATTTACATTATTTGGATTGTTATCCTCATCTCCATTGCTATATTCACAATGTTTCGGCCATTGTACACTCCGGCCTTCTTCAGGTGATTGGAATTTCAAACCGAGCTCAAAGAAACATGGCCCAGTGAATAAAGGTGTTAGTTAGATCCAGTGACTAAACCCAGGCTACAGCAGTGCTGAACCAAAAAACTTGAAGTGTTGTTAAAGGGAAATAACTGAGACATCTAAGAGAGGCTTGGCACGTGGAACTAGAACAATCTACCCTGGTGGACAAAATAAAAGGTTTGATTTGAAATTCCAATCACCTGAAGAAGGCTAGAGCATACAACAGCCAAAACATTGTGAATATGGCAATGAAGGCTAGGATAACAGTCCGAATAATGTAAATAAATTGATTAGCATTAGTGTATCTGCAATATATAGATTCATATTTTACTGTCAATAATTATAAATGAATTTTGACCTGATTTATTTAAAAAATTCTTCTCATTTTAATTATTAGAAATGTTGTTAGAGAAACAGTGTCTCAGTCAAGTACCCTGCACAATGGGTTCACACAATAGAGCCAAGCAACCATTTGTGGTTTTGGGGCCCTCCTCAATGATTTTCAGCTCAATTAAAGAACTGTATTAATGATTTTGTACTTAACAGGAGGATTAAAACAAAACTTTCACACTTCTATTTAAAAAGAAAATAGTGTTTTAGGTCTAGAAATCTTGGTTTGCTGTGAACGGTCAAAATTCTTCTTGAAAAGAGATTTAGTTTTGCATTTAAACCATTTAAACTTTTTGGGGAGTAATTTTCAGTGCATCCCAAAAATGGACCTCAAACAACATAGGAATAGAGATCTAGCTCATGATTTTCTGATAAATACAAGAAAAGTTATGTTCAAAACTGATATTTGGTGCTTGGCATATGGTGACAAAAGGCAGGTAATGATCAGTTTAATATATGAAAAGAACTGAGAATGTTTCATATATCTTCATGACTACAATTTTCTTACATTTTGCATATTTAAATTGTTTTAAGATTTCAGAACTTAGATCAAAAAGAAGAAAAAATTTGTCTCGGGCATTTTTTTGTTAGTGTTATTTGATGTTGAAGGTGAAAAACAACAGGCAAAATATGACAAAAATTTGTGTTAACTGAATTTTATGTTGTAGGGCCCCCAAATCCACTTGATATATATCAATTTTGAAAAAGAGTATAAAGTTAAACTTATATGTCACTTATAATAGTCATTTCAAAAAGATTCCAATAACTTTCCTTGTAAAAAGGGGTAGAAAAACAACTGTCCAGAATGGATCATCTAAATTTAAATGATTAAACTTGTGATTGTTGATCAAATTCAAATGATAAACTTAACTCCAAGTTTTTTTGAAGTTAAGTTAACCCATTTGGAAAATCCTGTCTATAGTCAGACTAGATAAATATATCACATAGGAAATGTTTTAAAAATGCCAAATATCTGCTTGCAGACCTACTGTTCTCTGGCCATCTTCTGGTCTACATTATTTTTTTGCTGATATATTTTGCATGTATTGATTATGTTATTTGTGTTTCTGTAAAGCCATTTTTTGTTCTTTGTTGCTGAACTTGAGTGTATTAACTCAAGAAAGTTCATCAAAATAAAGTGCCAATAAGATTTGAACTACAAACCGATGAAAAACAAAACTCAGGGTGTGGCAACAGTTGTTACAAAAGTAGTTATGTGATAGTGATCCCTCACTTATTGCCAGTGACAAGATATTTTATTTACATATCTAGTTAGAGGACACAAAGTGCAGGGTTGCAATTATATAAAATATAAACATTGTAACTTTAAATTTGAACTTAATTCACCATTTCTGTTTTTCATGCACCAACCTGTACTTTTGTCAAAACTCAGGTAATATAGAATGCAACTTTATCTTTTATACACTTTGAATAAACAGATTGCATAAAAGTAACCTTGTTGTTTCTCAAGCTCCTCACTCAAGTAGAAACAACTGCACATGAGAATAATATAATGAGTTATAGTCAGAAGTTTCTTTTTCTCTGATAGCCATTATGGTTTTGAGTCATTGCAGTCACATCATTCCATATAGTCATGCTACATTTTATAGAGATCCAAGCATGTATGTTTACATGGATGAAAAATTAGGCATTTTACTTGCATTTCTTGATGGTACAGAATTATTTTATTGGTTTCATTTTCATACAGATCATTACACTCTTTCAGACAATAATTGGCCAGAATCTCTCTTGAACATTTATAAGTTTAGAATTCATCTGTGTATCAAATATTGCTGCCATATCTTGTCTGGTACTTCTGATATGTATCTATAGATTCTTGATAGAATCCAAAGAATCTACAAGGTTATTGGCCCTGACATGACATCTTGACTTTAGTTATTTTTCCACTGCTGTAACATAATTTCCCTGTGCCTTTTCTTACAAATGCGCTCATGGTAATTGTTCTAATGAGCTTTCTTCTTTGATAGCTTGACTTCACAAATTTATGTACAGTACTAGATTGGCATCTAGGTTTCATTGTTTTACTGTTGAAATTGCTTGGTGTAAGTTCTATGCTAATAGTTTCTTCACTTGCACTTCTCACTTGTGCAACTCTCTTCCTGCTTGTTACTTTCCTGTTAACAATGATCTTCAAAAATTTAAATGCAACATCAGTCTTCATCTTCAGTCTCCTTGAATCCTGTTTTTTAACATACTCTCTGTCCTCAGTGATTTTTTTCATTTTTTTATTTTTTTCACTCTCAGTAATCCCTTTTGTTTTAGTGGCTTTATTACCTTGTTCAAAGTGAAATGATTAAAAAAAAAACTCATTATTCAGATAAAGTTTTATATTAGTTCATATCTCTGTTAGAATTCTCAATTCCTAACAGTCTCAAAAAATGTCAGATAAACACACATATGTTAAATGCTCAGAATTTACAAAGCCAATTTCAAAAAAATCTTAGCCAATCTCACAAACATTTATCAGTATAATACAAACACAGGCACCATCATTCATATTTAGAATATTAACACTTTTTATAGATAAATCATATATTTAATTGTAATACTTTCTTTAACTGGCAAAGGTTGAAAACTACTGAAATGACTGTCATTGTTCTTCTTTTTTTAAGCATTTCACCCCCAAGCAAGATAGGAGTGCCACAAGCATACAAGGAGTTACAGAGAGTGACAGTAAGAGTAAAGAAGAGTGTTTGAGGAAAGGATAAAGAGAAGGATGAGGATCAAGATCAAAGCATCAGAAAATGTTGATTGACATTACATTTAAATTTTTGAAGATTATAGTTAGCAGGGAAGCAAGTAAGAGAAAAGGAGTTTCACTGTCGAGAAGTGTGAGAGAAGAAAATGCTGGAGTAGAAGTGGTGGTTACATTTAACTGTTTTGACAATAAAAGGGCGGAACCGAGATGACAACCTAGTAACACACTTAAATTCATGCAGTTGGGACACCAGTGAAATTAGCTTGTCAGAGCAGTTGCTATGAAAATATTTGTAGAAAAGACAGAGGGAAGCCACATCAGGTCTGTGAGAAAATGACTGGAGTCAAGATGACCTATCTTATTGCATATCCATCTTTGGAGTTTGTCGAGAACCTTGAGATGAACAAAGGGAGCACCAGACCATATATGACAACAGTATTCAATGCAAGGACAAATGGTAGATTTGTAGATTTAAGGATGGACTCTGATGAGAAAAACCTTCTGGCACAACACAAAGAACCAACTTCATTTATATTTATTTTTCATTAATTGGAAATTTAATTACAATATTTAATGCTCATTTTCCAAAATAACAAGAAACAACTGATCTCACCTTGTAGAAAAAAAAGTTGTTGTATTTTAATACAACTAATTATTCTTTTCTTGTAGTACAATTTTAAGTTGACCTGCAGATGCCTGGAGAGGAAATCACCATTTAATCTGAAATAAGACCTGTGAATATTTAATGAGGTTTTACATTGTATAAAACAAACTGAAATAAAAAATCTTTATAAAAATTTTTTAATATAAATCTTTATAAAAGTTACTTTTTATACCCAGTTCCCTCATATATTTAATATGACATGTTATATCTACACGATTTATGCAAAAATGCTACAGAATAATGGAAATAAGAGGCAAGCATTACTTATGGATGCAGTTAACATTCACTCAACATCAAATTTACAATGAAGCATACTTATTTTTAATCAGATAATGTTTGTGAAAGCTACCAATCGAAATTCTCTATGTAGACAATCTGGCAATAAGAATGTTTTTATTTTGACTTAATTAGACTAATATTATTGTTGTTGGTTCACAGTGTCAGTTCCAATTGACAATGACTGCTAAAAATTTACCCACCATAAATTTATAGACAAATCCTAGAGATGCATGCTGGGATTTCTTTCTAGCTTATAAAAATAGATAATTCTCAGACTAGCCTACATATTATTCCATTGACTGTTAATTTTTGTGCTGCCTAAACTGTCTTCCTCAAAATAGTAATTTTCAATGAGCTGTTAATCTGATCCCTTATTTTGTTCACAATTTTTGGAAGCTAATTTTCATGTCTTCAGATTGGACAAGTTACAGATTCATTGAAAAAGGACTGTTCTTCCTAGGCTTTCCATTTTTTAAAAATATCTTTAGAATGTAGGTGATCATATCTCTCCACAGATTCCTCTTTTATTGCTATGACTTCTTGGGAAAGATGGTGAAGTGGTTTTCTGTTGCCTTCTGTATGATTCTGAATTCAGAGTTATCCTTCTACTAGACTGGCTCCCACCCAAATTTGAAAGAGCCCAGTCTACCCTGATATCTAACCCATAGATGGGAGGAGAAAAGATGGGATTCTTGCTTTTTCCAAGAACAATAATACAAAGTAAATACAATAGAACATGCTGAAACTTGAACTTGGCTCACTTTCCATGCCAATAACTATTATGCTACTTGTATCTATGACCGCATGTTACTAAGGACAGTTCCAGCTTGTGTCATATTAGAGTTATAGGCTATCAGTATTCATTCTTGTGTGTACATGTGTCAACATTGAAACTTAAGGGTTTTTGGGTCAGGAAAACATTTTATTAGACAAGAACCTCAAGTGATAATAAAAAATTGAATGTTGTCTTGGATATTATGGTAATCCAAGTTATTTGCCAAAAATTACTCTGTGATGATTTGATATAGCCTACACCAAAAAGAGGACAGAAAAAAATCAGGTAAAATTTTATAATCAAAACAAAGATGAGGATATTAGTCTAAATAATTCTTGAAATGATAATAATTTATCTCAGAGACCAAAAATGGCTAACATAAAAATTATAGGTAACCTAGAATCATCATCATCATTATTATTGTTCTGTGGGCTATAGGATAAAAATAAAACTAGTTTTCATATTATATTGCTATAAAAACACTGGATTATTAGGTATTTATAAAGGTGCTTTTAATTGTTAAGGATATTTTTATTTCAGAATATAAAATTAATTTCATCAATGATTTTTTTTCGTTTATATTTGGAGAAAACAGTTATTTTTTATGTTTTTACTGTTTTTGTTCCATATTTAAACTACTTTTATTTAATTTTATTTTTTCAATGAATTTCAAATATTATTTATAATACCATATAAAAACATTTAGTCATTTAGTTTGGTAAATTTATTTGTAAAGGATTTATATCATTGTTTACTAAAAGTAATATTGAAAAGATTCTATTTTCAGATATTCATTTGTGAAACCAAATGTATATTTTCATAAATTTAACTTTTTATTGACCTTTTGACACACATTTTTTCAAAACTGACTGGTGTAATATTTGTAAACCAATAAAAAGGAAATCTCAGATGGCATTTCTACTTAAAATTATTCTTAAGAAATATTCCCATTTATGAATCATGCCAATTTATCAAAAGATTTAATAAAAAATACAAGTTTTCTTCTAAACTTATATAGAAGACAGGGCTTTCTCCAAATTATTATGAGTTACAATTGTTGCACTTAATATTAAGAGATTTGTTCTTTAAATATGAAAACAAAATAGGTATTAATATTAAAGTATTTTTTTTTCTTTTTGTAGTACACTTGTACATATTAATTTAAATATATAGACAAACAGGTATTAAATACTAATAACGGATATTGAAGATTAATATTAAGCCAATTTGACAATAATTGTGCATATAAATATAGGTAATCAAATGACAAAATGAAAAAATTCTAAAGTGACACATTTTGTCACCTGAATGAGTGCCTTCAGACTAATAATGTTTTTATCAATAGATTAGGTCTTATAAAGATATAAAGAGATGAAATAGAAGAACAATTTATAATTTTACTGCTATTACAGTGTAGGATAATTAAAAAGAATAGTAATAAAAAACAAAAGTGATAGAAACCTGTGTGGGTTTGGCTAAGTTAAAATCTAGACATGTAGACATCAAAATTTAAAGTTAAATATGTATCTTCGACATATAAACTGTAAAATTTTAACCAGCATTTGAACTGACTCCATTGATGATAAAACCCTTATTAGTCTGAAGAATTTTCTTCTGGAGACAAAACACATCACTTAGGGAATATTTCCATTTTATCATTTGCTAGCTCTCTGGTCTGATATCTCCCATATATACTTGAATATAGTATGAGTTTTTATGATCAGTTTTTTTTTTTATGTAAAAAATAGGTGTTTGCACTATACACAGGTAATTTTTTTTGAAGAGGTTAAAAATCATGCATTTTCAGTGACCGGTTACACTATACACAGGTATTTTTTTTTTTTTTCTGGGGAGTTTAAAATTAATGCAAAAAAAATTAAGATGTTGCACTATACACAAAGTCGACTTATACGCAAGTATATACGGTAGATTTGTATATAATATCATTCACATGCATTATAAATTAGAGAAACTACAGACAAAAAATAACTTACCTATTTGGTAGAATCTGGATGCCTATGTGTGGAGCTTATAATGTTCTATGGAATCCTCTGGTGTTTATAGAGTGATAATAATAAGAACATGTAGCTGTGGTCAGTTGATGTGTAAATAGATTTGAGTGGATGTGGACAGATAGAAGTCCTACCAAATGTGCTGGTCCACTCATTCAGTGTTGGAAGTTAATAAACTTATTGTAGATGGTTAGGGTTACTAGTTAGGGTGACAAGTGCATTCATCCTTTTTAGAGCTTATGATAAATCCATAGTTAACACATATACACATAGATATATAAATTTGCAGAGCTAAACAAATGAGCAATTATACAGTAAAGAATTGAAATAAATATAAGTCCTGATCATTTTATTCTTTTTTTTTATCATCTGATGACTCATCTCTATGCTATTTTCTCTTCCTCTTTCCCATTCTTGAATTTTATTGCTATTAGGTTATTGCTTACAAAGTAAAAAAAAAAATTACAGAAGTTGTTGCAGAAAGAACTTGTAGCTGCCTCAGACAGCAGTCTATAGTTCGTAGGTCTGGGCATTCTTCCGCTTGATAAATGTATCGGAAAAAAAAAAAACAAGTAATTGTTATCCGTTTTATATTTTGAACAGACATTGTTTGTAGATGTTTTTACGTGTACTTTTTCCTTAAAAATAGCATTAATAATGTGCCATCTAGAATTTCAGGATCTTATACATTTTAATATACAGGTAAATTTCTTGTAATTGTTAATTGATAATAAAATTATTTTAAGTCCACAAAGAAATGTGACTTAGTTTTAGGTTGTGTCAATAGCAGAAAAGTAACATTGTTCTTGATACAAAGTTTGCATAATTTTGAAATAATAAAGTATTAATGTTTAAAATCACGGCTAGGATAAAGAATTTAGCTTAAATATCAGAAAATGGCTTTGCATTATATGAAGCAATAATACCATTTCTTTTTTACAAAATTGATTATATCTAATATTTGTTAAAATTTGGAGAATATGTTTTATTACAAGTATGCACAAGTAATTTCAGAATTCTCCTCAATCCTTGTAGTTTTCCATAGATACAAAAAAGAACTCAGTACAATGACAATATTATTGTTTGATCACAAAACATCTATTGCAAAGGAATTTAAACAAGGTTTATCTTTTCCATTTGCATTTTGCATGTACAAAACCCTGTTCTTTTCAGAAAGCCTCTTCAAAAAGACATGCTTCTGGGTACTTCAGTCAACTCAAAAAATTATTTTTTTTTTTTTTATAACAATAACAAATTTCCAAGAACAAGAATTATGGACATTTTCAAAAAGAAAAATAATAATAATAATATTTTCAGATTCCATTGAAATAACATAAATGTATTGTCCATCTATTATGTGATACTTATATAAAAAGAAGTGTATCAGAACAGATGAGAGCTATTACTGAACTCAAACTGTAACTTTCTGATTTTATAATCTGTAAACAGATTTTTTTTTCTATTACTGATCATTAAAAAAAATTATTCTTTTTTTTTGTTTATTTTTCTTTCCATCGGCTGATCAGTTAGACAAATAACAACCAAATTTTCGATTATAAAAGAGGAGAAATATCTGGTTTCTGTTGGAACATTCTGTTGTTCAGCTGACTTATTTTGCAGAAAACTAAAATTGTGCATTATTGTGTATTGTGTGTATCTCTTTTCATTTTGTGACCAAGAGAAGGATGATTTTTGTTATTTTCTAATAACCTGTTTCCAGTGAGGTTTAAAAAGAGGAATAGTCAAATCCAAATGAAAGAGTTCACTTTGTGTACTATAGCACTTAACTTTTGCAGCTGGAGCTTATGTGCAGTAAACATTGTCTAATTGATTTTTATTTCAAGACAACAAGCTCTAAAAAAACTGTCACATACATTTGCATCTAACAATATCTACTTGAAGCAATATCCCTCACATGGACAAGTGATCTTGGTGCTCTTTTTAGATTTTAGATGAGGTCACATGCAAGTTAAGTCTATTTCATATTCAGGATTACTGCACAAAACAAATATTAAACCCAATTGAATGTTATACAAATTCACCACAGCATCTGAAATATAAAACAAAAATGTATAGACAATATATATATATATATATATATATAGTGAGGGATAGAAGTGAAATGTTTTTAACATATTTTTTTATTTAAGTTATTAAATACTATTTTTTTAAATATTACGTTGAAGAAATCATCTTTATCATTTTAGTTTTATGCACTGTATTAGTAGCATGAAATTGCTTTGTACTCATCTTTGAAAAAAAATCTATTTTTATTGAATTGAGATGGTCAAAAATATCAGCAACTCTTTACTATTTATTAGGGAGAATCTGATCTAAAAATTTCTATATATCAGGACAATGTTAGGCAAATGAATAACAAAGTGGAAAAAGTCTGTGTCACAAGTTTTGTCCACGAGAAGACTAAATTAATGTTTTTATTGGTGGAATTAGATATCTGTAGAGAAGGAGGGTAGATGTAAAAACATGAGCGTTGGTTATAATTATGTACCAAGAAAGAAAAGCTGAAGATGTGGGAATGCTAAAATTTAAATTTCTGTGTGCTCTTAAATAGAATCTAATGACTATTCTGGATTATAAATTAAAAAATGCTTTGATTACTAAATCATCCATGGTAAATTTATGTCCAGGTTCTTAAAACATTTCACCTTTCTTGGTAGATCTTCTGTTATCACAGTGTGGGATATTTAAAAACAAAAGCATAGGAAAACTCAACAAGATTAGCTAGACTATATATCCAGATACACCTAAAAAAAAAAATTTAAATGTAAATTTCAGTATTCCCCCCATCGTGAGCATTCCACCTTGTGAATTAATTATAACCATCACTCTGGTTTTAGATGTCCCCATTACAGATATTTAGCTTCATCAATAAAAACATTATTTTAGTCTGATGAAGTCCTTCTAGAGCATAAAACATGTTATGCAGAATCTTTAAGAAAAATGTCACTAAAATATACAGGTTATCTCCCTTGCATTTTTATTCAGGATACAATTGGCTTTTGTTGAAAAGGTAACACCATATTGCCAATAGATGCAGAGAAATTCGTTTTTGGAGTTTTACAAAAGACTTCAAATGCCAGTTTCAAAACTTCACCATTGGTCAGGATAAAGTTGAACATTTGGAACTAGTTAAAAGTTATGAAAGGTATATGTTGTAATGATACCTCATTTAATAACTGCTTCTTTATTTTTTTAATTTTTTTTTTATAGAATTAAAAAATATCTCAGTACACTACATCACAAGATAATGTTTTAATTCATGATAAGAAGAAAGCTCCCAATTACTAATGAAAATGTTGTTTATTATGCTGTTGTTTTTAAAGGTATTTTCTATGTAAAAATATTGAACCTATAGAAAGGACAGAGACATACAAAAGGAAAATAATTTGAAGATAATTTAGGCTAACTTTTCTTATATTCTTTCCTTTTCTAAATACTTAGTATAAACATGTCCATCAATTATTGTGGTTCTCTGACAAATACAATGATAATTAATTTTTCTATAAAAATTCATATATTCACAATCATATAAAAAATATGAATTTCTTGATCGTGAACAAGAGTCACAATTATTCAATAATTTACTATTCAAAAACATTTTAAGGCAGTCATCTAACATATCAATTAGTCCTCTGTAAATATTCTAGTCTAAGAAAGGATTATAAAAAATAAAAATATATAAAAGACACCATACAGAAATACAACAAAACAGATAAAAAATATTTCATTTTATAGTCTATATTTGAATTAATTGTTATCAATGAAAGTTAAAATCAGATCATAAGTTCCATTAATTTTATTAGCTTACAAATGGAATAAATAAAATGCTTTCAGAGACTAAAAGTAACTTTATTAAATATTTCAGCATAATTGATGGCATATAAAGGACATATTTTTCTTTTCATATATTAGAATTTCATAAATTTATAAATTCACTAAATTAAACTTGTTGTAAACTTTGCCAAATAATAAACATGGATGACATTTCAGTAACATTTGATGTAAAATCCATTTTTCTTAATATTCCCTGCCAAATGATTTTCTGTGTCATCAAATATGGTCATACCATACCCTTGCCTTAGGCCACAATGTCAGGCATCCATTTTTCTAGGTTTAAATAACTTGTTTCTAAATTAAATAACCTATCAATTTTGCTTTGTAAAAATTTATGAAATAAACTGATAGGATATGATTTAATAATTAATAGTATTAATAATTAATTTACCTATTCACAAAACTAATGAAACACAGAAAACCAATTTGTCATCTAACTAATTTATAAGATATTTAGCCTATAGTTAATAAATAAATTTATTAGTTTATAAATAAGCCTTATCAATCTAATCATCATCTATTGATGGCCACTGTCCCATTTTGGGGTTATAGATATAAATCTATAATTAATACTGATTTTTTTTTTAGAAACCTATGATTAATGCAAGATTTTTTTTTAATAATTCATAACAGATTTTATGGTGGGCATTAATATGTTAATAAAATATCTGTTTTAAGAGATGACTTGAAATTACTATAAAAATATCTTAAATAGTTGCAAAGTTGATCTAAATGTAAACTTATAAATGATTTAGCTGAAAAGTATGCATCTGTACATATATAGGCAACAGTAATTCAATTAAACAAGTTTTATTATATTCAACCAAAATGACCTGTCTAGTTTTTCATATTTTTCTAATTTTTTAAATGTAGTTTAACATTTAGATATAAACTGCTCAAAGATCATGCTTTCATTCTGTTTTTGATACTGAGTGTCTTGGTCATCATCGCAAACTAAATGTTATCCGTATCATAGAAAAAATTTGGAAATAGACAATAAGAAACTAAACAGATAAATCTTGTTAAATGAATTTAATAAAAACTATTTGATATATAATTGTTTAAAATTTTCTGTATTTATTTCAGAAGAGTGCTCAGAATGTAAGATACAGAGCTTGTAGATTTAAACAGTGAGTACAATGGCATCAACACTGCATGATGATGTCAGTTTTACACCATGAGTAATCATCAGAATATAACAGTTGGATGATTGCTTAGGGTGTGAAACTGACACTCATCATGCAGTATTGATTTGTATGTCCACACTTTATATATGAATTTGTTTTACCATATTTAAATTATGTACATGTAAATTTAATAACTTTATATTTTAGATGAAGTTAATTTTGTTAAACATATATTTTAATGAATAGCTGACTAATAGGTTAACCCAGGAGTGGGCAAACGTTTTTTCATGAAGAGTCACATTGTTGGGCCTGCTCAAAGTGGGTTGCATCATGATAACAGCACAAGTTGATGACCTTTATTACTATTAATGAGATTTGTGCAGCTGAGAAAAAAATCTTTCACAAGTTTTTCATAGCAAGGATTTAGTTTACTCATTGATGTACACAAGACAGATTGCATGTTATAATCTGTTAGCTGAAACCTATGTTTTGATTTTATTAATGAAAACAAAAGAAATATGAAAATAAATGGCTTGCATCTTTATTCTAGTTTTGAATAGATTACTATTTTGCACAAAATATAACAAAAAAATTACCAAGTTTTTTATGGACTTAAAAAAAAACTGCTTTTTATGCTATTGCAGGTTTCACAAAGCCATCAAAAGGGTTGCATGTGACCCATGGTCTATATTTTTATTCAGTCCTGAGTTAACCATTTATATTATTACCAAAAAATAAATTTACTGATGCAGGATTTGAATATTCAGGATGAATTATCTGATTTCTGGATGAGGGTGTCTATAAGATAAAACATTGCTCAGTATTCATAGAAGTAAAACAGAAGAAAGTATCCTGCTGTTTCTCTTTATCATCTAATTATACTATTACACTGAATAATTAAGACCTAGACCTTATTAATTTAAATGTATAATTTTACTTATCCTGGAGTGAATGAAGCATTCTAGTTTTGCAGATAATTACCTGAGTGGTGTGTTTGATTTTCACTGACTACCTTTACTCTTGCGACTGAGTCAAACTAAAAATTCTTTTTATTCACAGAATTGCCAAACATCTTCATACAGTCAAGCTTAAAAACTCACTCTTGAGTACATTTTTTATCTATGTATTTTTCACATATACAAATATTTCATACAAATAACAATGTAATAAAAATATTGAATAGAACAAATCAATAAAACTATAAAGGAACTCACCAGTTTTGTAAAGTTCACACTGTTCTATTAGATAAAATGTTCATTCATGTATGAAATCCTCTTTGTATTTGCTGCATTAACATGTAACAACCAGCACTAGTTGTTGTTGTTGTTGTTTCTTTTTCTTTTGTAGGGTATTTTATTGTGTGTCTAGATCTAAATGCTTCTTTGGTTAAGAGATTACATTTTCTTTCCTTCTGAAGATGTCATGATGTTAATTGAAGAAAAAATCCTTAAGTACAGTAAAATTTATGCTTTCAAAATATTTTCTACCTATTTTTAATGGAGGTATAATAATCTTATAAGTTGTGGGTTCATTGAAGTTTTCAATCATGAATAGACATTATTTTTTATTTTCTGTACACCAAACTCTTTCTGTTTTAAACCAAGCTTTATACGAGACAATTGAAATGTTTATATTAAATAATAATAATAATAATAATGCTTCAAATTAATCTCTGTAATAGGAATAAGTTGCAAACTTTTTAAAACAGTTACTAATTCAGAAGGGGAACAAGTCATATCTGTACAGCTAGCGTTTCCCTTTCTTTGTCAAAATTCATTTTTAAAGAGAAAAGAATGATTACATATAATGAAATAGTACAATTATCACAATATGGAATGAGAATTTTGATTTGAAAATTAGATTTTTTAAACAATTTGCTTTTGTTAAATTGTAAATTGACAAGGTTATTTGTTATTCAGGTTCGTTTTGAGCTACATGTCATATTTCATTAGTTGTACTGGAGGTAGTACATGAAAACGGGATATATGCTTTCTGTATGTAAATACAAATAGATTTGTGGCAAGTGTGTGTGTGTGTGTGTGTGTATATATATATATATATATATATATATATATAGTCTAAAACATAAATGTTTGTATCAGTGGCAGAAAGCAAACTAGTCAGTGGTGGTTACTATGACATGGGTTAGTGGTCAGACCTGGAGAAAAGAAAAGACAAGAGTAATAAATAAATGCACTTTTTTTATTTTATTTTTTAATAGGATTCTCTGTTTTTATGTATTTTAGATTTATATAATGAGCACTTATCTCTTTTTTTCATTCTATACTAATCAGCATGAACATTTTGATGAGATATCACTGAATGAAAAACAATACTTAACACTTTATCATTCATGAAAAAAAAAGATTCTTTTTGTTTAATCCAAACAGATTTGTTTCGAATTCACATTTATTTGACCTTCATACTGATTAGTGAACATTTGTATCAAATCAGACAAATGCTGTTTCTTTAAAGGGAGACAAATACTGTGAATATTTGACATAACACATTTTTCTACAATAAAGGAATATTTTAATAGTAAGAATACTGTGTTTGGCAAATATATGTCAGTTTATAGATATGCCAATAATTGCAGTTTTTATTGTACATTAATTAAGATATATTTCATTTGATTACAATTCAAACTTACAGTTTTAAAACAAATGGAAAAGTAGGGAGGAAAGATAATAATAAAAATATTTAATTTCATATATATATATATATATATATATATATATATATATATATATATATTTGGCAAGGAGAAGTGATGATCACATAACAAAAGTTCTTTTCTAGAGTGAACTCCATAGTGGTCATAGAAATGTTGATAGACCTTGGCTCAAGTATAAAGATAAACTGAAAAGCATCCTTTCTTGCGTCAACATTCCATTCAAGAACTTTGAAGAGGTAGCTATGAAGAGATCAGAGTATCATTCTAGCTGCCATTCAGGAATAATGCACCATCAAGAAGTAAGCATCAGTCGACTATGTGAAACACAAAAGCAAAATAAGACAGCTAACAATATTCCTGCTGCACTTGGATACAATACATTCTCCTGTACTGTTTGGGGTCTTTTGTGGAATTCTCAAGCTGGTCTCAAAAGTCATGCCCGTTATAGGCATGCAGATAATTAGTTTGTGGTCATCGGAACCTCATACGTCAAACTCAACAGGAGAGTCCATCATATATATATATATATATATATAAATAAATAAAATGAACAACACCTAGGGTACTCCTAGTTTCACTCCTTTTAGTCAGGGATGTTCAAGCCAGGTCATATTTGTATAATTATATATAAAGTAATGTGTATTTAACATCAAGAATTCCTCCAAACAAATTTTATTAAATAACAGCAACATATATTTCTATATTCTCTTTAAATTTCAAGTTGTGTTTTAAGATTAAAATTTTTAATAAATTGTCCAAAGTTCTTTTTTTTTTGTTACATTTGGGTACTTTCAACTGTCACAGTCATTGTCAAGAATTGTGAGCATCACATTTGGCAGCCCACAGAAGACGGATGGAGATGGAAGGACAGTGTCATCATCAGCAATGACAGACAGCCTTAAGCAATATAATTCTTAATTATAAAAGCGAATATCCTCACAGATATAAAATGGATGTTATAAAAAGCAGGGTTAATCATATAAAAATGATTTCCTCTTTTGACACATTATTTTTTAAGCAATTAAGTGACATAAAACAAACACTTATCAACAATAATTTCCCCAGCCATGTTGTTGATGAAGAAATTAGATTGGCTTTAATAAAATGTAGAAAAAATAAGCAATTATCTTGATATAAACAAAAATAAAGTCACAATTAAATTATTTTATTGTAACCTAATTATAAAAATGATGAAAAGCCATTAAAAATAGAATTCCCCTGTATATAATAGTTAACAATCCAAATAAATACTTTAGATTTATTATTTACTATAAAAAATTCTTAGCAAGAATTCAACACATCAAAAAACCACCGTATGTAACAATAATGTTGTTTATGAATTTTCATGTCCCTTGGGAGATTATATCACCAACTCTAATAATCAACAAACAACATTAAAATCTGACATTGAGTTGATGTGTCATTTGTCAAAATTTAGTGTAATTCAATCTTATATAGATAAACACATCACAAACAACTAAAATAATATTAATATAAGACAAATTTTAATAGATAAAACCAAAATATTATATAGGACATACTGATCATTCACAAGTCTTACCAATGACTGCAACAGTCAAAAGTACATGAATGTAACAAAAAATGAAGTTTGGATGATTTATTCATGATTTAAATCCTGATATAAAATACCTGAGTTTTAAATTTCAAAGACAATATAAAAATTTATATATATATATATATATATATATATATATATATATATATATGCACAGGGTGTTCAAAAAATGTACTCACTCTTTAAATGACAATAAATGCAATGTTTATTGACTTGTAAACAAGATTAATGCTTAGAATTCAAAAAAAATATTAATGTTTATTGACTTACAGAAAAGATTAATGGTTTTTATTAAATGATATTAAAGGCATCATTATAAATATTCAAATTAATGACCACTACTTTTCAAACCAAGTGAGTATATTTTTGGGGGATTAATGGTTCCAGTTAACATTATAAAATTTTTAAATAAAGTATTTCTGTTAAATATGAGAATATTAAATTTCCTTTGAATAATTAAGAAAAAAGAAAATATTAAAATCAGTTATATTTAATTATTATCTTTTCTTAGAATTAAGAAAGCTTTATATACAAACCTGATATCATATCCATTCTTAGACATCTGATTAACAAAACACCATGACACTGATGACTTATGAGCAAACATGTTCTTCAAGTTATTTAGTCTACTTAGTTCAATATGCTGGTTTATCACTGAGATAATTATGTATGTAACCTGAAAATAGTGAAGAAATCAGTTGTTTTGTTGCCTCTGTCCATTGAATAATCTGTTTGCTATTTTATTACCACTTATAAGCAACACTTCACACTGATGGAGATCTTTCAACTTCAACAGTTATCTGAATCCTGTTTTTACTAAATTTTCATTTCTACATCCAGTTGTGTAAGTCTCTAAATACTGTAAATTTCCAGTTTCTGTTTTTTTTCTTTCAAACTGTGAAGTAAATTTGAGTGTAGGATATTTTTTGCCTATAGCATTTAAAACAGATTACTAAAATGTCTTTACATTGGCTTAAAAATTGGTCTTCATTATGGTTTTAGCAAACCTAGATAGATGACTGTCAACATCTTTTATAAAAAGTTTGATTATATTTTTATTTTAACTAATTTTAACCACAGAAACTGTCATTCAGTATTTGATCAGCATATATTTTCAGGGAATAATAGTAAATTTTTATATCCTTCTCTAGTGATGTGAGTTATTTGATGATCTCATGGACTTCTTTTCCTGTCCATTACATGTAAGTTAGCATTATACATGTCAAAATTTGAACAGTTTTCTACATTACAGGAAGGTTCTGCACACCAATTTTTCAGTTCAGGTCTCAGCATCAAATACAATAATAGGATCCAGGAAGGTCCTCTATTCAGTATATTCTTCAATTCTTTCAAGTGCATCAGCAGCTAAAATGTTAAAAAAATATTATTCTTAGAATTATTGATGTCAAAAATATTGCAAATTACAAATCTAGCAAACAAAATAGCATAGGATATTTGTGTGTGTAAAAGAATAAAAATATTTGGTTAAGAAAATTAACATTGGAATATATTATTTGTGTGATTGTGTTTCAAATATAAAATAATATATAAGATATGAGATGTGGGTTCATAAGGTTTAGTGAGGAAATATTTAAACAATTACTCCTCCATAAAATGTGAGATGGCTATTTTTTGTGTTTAATTTTCATAAAGCAAAACTTTCCTGCAAGTTTGAAAAAGAAGTAAAAGATAAAATATCAAAATCAAATAAATATGATGAAACTTTGATGTTATTGAATGCACAGGTAAAAAATTAATAATTGTACCAAGTAACCATCTATAAAATGGCTCAGTTGTTAGAAGTAGCACAGCTCCTAGTCAGCATCTGTTCTTGTAGTTCAGTGACCTGAACAACATGAAACACAGGATCTCTCCTTAGAGAATTCCTACCCCCTGGCTCCAATGAAGCCTGGCCCTTCTGGTCCTGCTTAAATCGCCTTCAAGCAAGTTACTGTAGAGCCAACCTTCAGAAATGGGGATATCTCACTAATGTTCCCTGTATATAATAGTTAACAATGTGGGCAATCACAAACTATGGAACATCTACTTTGCCACAATCTTGAAAATCCATGCACATTCCATGACCTTGAAACCTTAAGCTCTCTGTGCAAAATTGGATGGGTGTTGTGTAGCAACTCAAGAAGTTGTTAGAACATTACACTGGACTTCTGAAATTAAATCACACTAATCAAGTTTAGCAAATTTGAATGTTTTGGCAGAAGAATCATGCTCAGTGGATTTCAAGTGGCCATGATCAATGCCATATGCCCTTCCTGGCAAACCATATACTTTAATTTTGGGAAAGACGTAAGAAGATAAATTTATATTATTTACACAACATTGTATTAATAATAGTCTCTTTAAGAGAAGAGAATTCTTAGCATGTTTGATATTGTCTCAATCTCCTCACTAACAACAAATTACTCAGAAGAGTGGCTGATAATAAAGAATCCCAAAACAGAATGAGCTCAAAGGAAGATCTACTTTTTACTTAGAACAGTAGGTCTTCTCAAATAGTTACTTTGCATTTATTACATATAGAACCACTTGGCTTTATCTAATGAAAACTGTTAAATTGATGCTTTCATTAGTTTTCTAACTTCAAGTACTATTTTTGTTTTTGTCAGTCTCTCATTAGACTCAGATTAGAGTCAAGATAAAAGTATCTTTTTCTTAAAGAACAAGATAAATTTATCACCCTCCCCTACTAGAGTAACCATTTGAAAATCCACATCACTGATTTTTGTCAGTTTAATATCCTCCTTTTAAAAGCAGCCTAAGTGGAATACTGTAAAGCAACAGAATTTGAAGAAAATTAAAAATTTAGGAAATGCATAGATATTTATTTTATAAATTAACTTAAAGAACATTTTGTTGACGCATATAAATGTATTAATTTTGAAATGCATTATTTTATTAAAAAGGTAAAAGATGAAATTGTTTACATATATAAAGGCATTTATTTTGAAATGCTTTATTTTACTGACAAAATTCAAGATGATATTGTTCACTTAGATAAATAAAAACAAATTTAAATACATTATCAACAAATTCTTCCAGCTATTCTCTTTAAAATGCAGTAATGATTAGTATTATACTTTAAAAGATGTTTCTTTGTGATCAGCAGACAGCGAGTAGATTAAAAGTTATGGCTTGGAACATGTTGTCAGCCATAGGTTCTCATATATACGGATTTTAAAAATCTTCATACCTAAACCAGTCTTGAAAAGGAAGAATATGAAAGCAATACCTTTCATTATGATGAATGGTGTCATTTTAACATACTTCTCCCTGAACCACTCAAAAGAGAGGGAATGTTAAAATGATCTATAGGTTTGTTAATAGATTCACATTATTTAAAATGGTGAATCTAAAAACTTAATTTACAGGTTAAGTTAACTTACCACTTCCATTGATGTCTGTTAATGTATCCTTGCAGAAAATCTGGTTTCCATAATCATATCAGTTCTTTGACTCTGTGATGGTTAAGTGTAAGAAGATGGAAGCATCGGGATAGCAGCTTAGGTGAGTAGATTTCAGTCCTGCTAAGCATAATGTGTGAGCAATGACTGATTAGCTCACAGCTGTTTATTTAACAAGGGAGAGTGGGGAATTTGTCTTGCTTTGGAAGTACTGAATTTTATAGTTTTTGTTCTGTGAATCATCAGGTTGCTGATTTTGCTCCCAGAACTTTATCAAAATTTACAAATAATATAACCGTCTAGATCTCTATTTTGGGAAAATAAGCAATGTATACAACGTATATGTTTCTTATTTGCATCCAAGGTTTCAGTTATGTAATAGTCACCAGGAATTTCTTCATTTGTTATAACAATTCATAGCAATAAAATTTTTACATTCATAAATTAGTTATATTATCCGATAGTGTTTGAAATAGAATAAGGAATATCTGAATAATTATGTTCTTTTAGAAGGCCTATTTTCTTCAAGCTAAACTATTTTTCTTGTTATATAAAACATTTTGTCAAATTTAACAATTTCTGAGCATCTCAATGCATAAAATTTAGGTCAACAGCTGCCAGTTCTAGAAATCAATATTTTCCACAGAAAATCATAAATGAAATTTCTATAAAAAATAGATCTCATTTAGGAAATCAATTAATGTTTATGTATACATTTTTATAATCAACAAAAATCTAACTTCCAACTAAAAGTATTTGGCCATTTTAGAAATACAGATAGAAAAATAATCCTTTTATCTGTTAGTATTACAATAAATATTTTTCTTCCTTAGAAATCTAAATGAACATGTTAAATATATATCTTAATCTAGTCATGTAAAGTATTTTCCAAATCACTGTTTCATTTTAAATAATTACAATTAAAATATTTTCAACCTTGGAGAAATTTTCATTTTCACTTCAACATGGCTACTACTAAGTAAGAAAGTACATTTTACAGATAAAAATAAATTCTAATTCTTTTATCATTTTTCCAAGTGAAAATTAAAATAAGTCACATTGCAATTGAGCAAGCTTTAAAACAAATTAGTTGTCATGCGAAAGATCCCGTGACATTGTCCTGAGTAGTAATGCTGTATTTTAATTAAATTGGATTATTTAAAAAAAAAAATTTCTGTTTGAGGTAAATGGATATAAGTGAAAGGTTAAGGAATTTATAAGTAAAGATATAAAGTTAGATTTATCTTTGGTTCTTCTTTTTTAACAGACTGAGAGAGGACAGTGAATTTCCTCAAGGCAATTACTAGGTTTTACTATTGTTCTCTCTAAGTGCTCACATCAAATGATACTTGAATACTCCATTCTGCGGATGACTGCATCTTCATGGAGGACTAACAGTTGTAAACACATCTGGAAAAAAAAAGAACTGACAATCATAAGCAATAAATGAACTGAATTTGATTTAATTATCAAGAAAAGTTATGTGCACAATTTATACAAATATTATTCAGAATTAGTCTCTGATATTCCTACAAAATTGAATGAAATCGAATAGTCTTTTTAACCTGAACAAATATGTTAAGGTTTTTGCACTCTTCACATGAATTAAAATATTTTTAACATTTTAAGCTACATAAAATTCTAGTTATATTTCTGTATTCTAACTATTTACACTGTTTACATTGTTTGGACATTTGTCCTCATTTTGGTTTTACACATTCATAACATTTTAACTGCTGTACACTCCAGCCTTCTTCAGATGATATTTTTTTTTAGAATTTCTTACCAAACCCAGAATAGACAATCTATGTTGAAGTTTCTGAAGATTGGTTCAATAATGTTGTGTAGATGTTCTTCCCATGTTTATTTCCTGAAATGGGTTGATATATAGCCTTCACATTCTTGGGTTGCTCAGTAAAATGACTGAGAATCTGTTCCATTTCTTCCATTCATCACTTGCAAGTATTGTAACAGAGATTGTTAAAGGCCAAGTTCTTTTCCCACATTTGTTTCCCTGCCACTTTCTCTGCCTTTTTTCTCCATATGTGGTCAGCCATGCCTGATTGTTCTATTTCTCAATGGGCTACAGCCTTCTGGTTTTCCTGCATTCTTATCTTAAGGAGGTGGCATGTTTCTCCTTTATATTTCTTACCACAGCTGCAGAGGATGGCATATACACAGTCCTTATTAATGTTCTCCTCTGTGGAGATATGACTGTGTAGTATTCATCCATTCCTGAAGGTTGTTTTTATGTTACATGGACCACAGATCTTTTGTATCTTTTCTGACAAGCCCTTAAGGCAGACTGAGGCTGTTTTCTGAGTGTTGTTATCATTTTGTATTCTTCTATCCCAGTTTGCAGGGAGGTGCTGTCACATACCCAGGGTTGTTATGAAGTAAATATGGGACCAACATCTACACAAATGTCATCAAACCAATCTTCAGAAAGGCTAATATACATGTCGACTATTCTGGGTTCAGTTCAAAATTCAAAAAAATATCACCTGGAGTATGCCGGAGCATACAACAGTTGAAATGTTGTGAAAGTGCAAACTGTCTGAACAATGTAAATAGTGTAAATAAATGAAAAAAATCAAATTAAACCTTGTTAACTTTTTCAACAATTAAAATGTTTTTTTCAATTTAAACAGTAACAGCAACAACTATATTTAGATCTAGTTTCAAAAAATATAACTGATGATATAAAAACAAAACAAATTGTAAGAAATTAAAAGAATGAGTCACTCAAATAAGCTGTCAAATTATATATTGGAATAGTGGAAAGAGTGTAGGGTAGTTTTTCTAATAGTACTGATATAGATGTGCCTAACACTTTATGCATTATATGAAATCTATTTTTTGATTTATTTCTAATAGTAAAATATGCCTTCACTCAAAATACTCATAAAAATTTTACACTTTTCCTATTTTAAATTCCTGACGAATCTTAATTCTTAAGTTAATGATTAAATAAGCTCATAGCAATAAAATATCCATAGAAATTCCCCTATTATACCATTAAATTCCCTTATTATACCATTAAATTCCCCTATTATACCATTAAATATTTGAGCTTAGTCAATTCTTTATGAGGTATTGGCAGGAGATGTTAAACACTTTTTATCTTCCCTTCTTTCTTTCTTTCATTTTCTCACTGATACTAAGTAGTATCTGTTATTTGTCTTTTCTGTCCTACATGATCAAAATAGAATAGTCCATTATTTTTAAGATTTTGGCAGAGTGTAATGGTTGTGCTAAGGAAGGGACAAGCAGAATTATAATAAGGTGATATTAGATGTTAAAAAAAAAAGTTAAATGATGCTGTAAAATTATCAAATATGAGAGTTAGTCAGAAGTTTATACCTGTTCTGATACAATTTTAAAATTATTACTCAGAATTTCTGACTTTTATTTTTAAGTTGCAAACCATAATTTTTTTAAAAATCCAAGAAAGAGTTATAGATTTGCCTTCTTATGGTCTACTAATAATCTTCATTAAAAATCTCTGGACATCTCTCTCTATCTCTCTGGACATATGTAAAAAGCAAAAAGCTGTAACAGATTTTATGCTTTAGGAAGGAAAACATGGTACAAACAATCACAAGATGTTAGTGAATGTTTACGAGTAGGCTTCACTTAGAACTTTTTCATAAACCTTAGTGACAGGCTCAACAGTAGCAGACAAATTGCTGCTATGAATAAGAATGCTAGTAGTGAAACCAAACAAGCTGAGGCTCTCATAGCAGCTGACAGAAAAATCACTATTGTAAAACACTGTGAAAGATTTCAGGAGAACTGTAGTCGTCTCTGTATTTTATTGCAGTCTCTTACCTACTTAAAGGTCTGTGCAAAGCAGAGTCCCAGAAATCTGACAAATTCTATGAAAGACCAATTATGGGTACATGGCCGAGTGGTTAGAACATTTGCATTCTGACAATGAGAACTGGGTTCAAATCTCACCATGGTCGATTTGTCAGGAAGGAAACTTCCTGATGTTATTGGACTAGAAAGGTTGATACCAGCATGCGGTGCCTCTGGAAAGTGCCTGAAAACCATACCACAAGTTGACCTAAGCCATGTCAGTGAAATTGGGTAAACGGAACACTTGGGTGCCGTCAATAGCTGTGCTAGCACGAAGTCACAAGTCATTGTGGCCAAGGGCTTGAGCGTGCTGGCCTTGTTCAAATTGTTGATCATGCTAGATAACACACTCTTTCCCAGAAACTGTAACTAAGGTCTGTTCAGCATAGTTGCAGTATAAACCACAGATGGGCTCTGTGGGTGTTGAATAAACACAAATATGCCTGAGCGAGTGTCTGCAATAGGGATTGGCTAACTGCCCTAGTAAACAGGTATCCTTGAATACGAGTGGCCAGCTATATACATACATACATACATGAAAGACCAGAAGGTGGTTGCTGTTCAAAAGTTCTGGAGTTTCCCAACACAGCTGGTACTTTCCTGAGCATGGACCCATAAAGGAGGCAGTGGTTCTCCAATGATAATGAAACAAAAGTAGCAACTTGCATATAGTTAAGAAACCAGCCAAGAAGCTTCTATAAGGTATGTTGACATGCTATCATTCAAAGGTGGAATATGTTGAAAACAACATTTGGAATTTTGTATTCATTTTTGTATTCTTTGTGTGCTCCTCTATTAAATATTTTGTAATTAAAGAACAGGCTTTAATTTTTGACTGATCCACTAATATTCTATACAGAAATTAATAAAAATTTGTTTTTTTCTGCAATTTTTAATATAAGTGTTTTTTTACTTTAACATTTTAAACAAGATATGCAAGTGGAGAAAGTTAGTTACCTTTTTTTGGGATTGTGTTGACGAATGACATCTTCATTTTCATCCAGTATTTTTAGCAAAGAAAAAATAGTTGTAGCAATCCAGTAAAGAATGCTCTGTGTGTTTGCATAATGATAATTGTTATCCTCTTCTTCATCTGCACAAATTTTGAGGTAATAGTAATTATTTTTTGCAGCACATTTTTTCTGTATAATATGTATGTACATACATATAAAATTTAAATATGATTTCTCATTAATTTTCCCATGATGCCACTGAAAAATAACTCTTTATCATTGTCAATTCATTTTTTTAAGTCCATGATGCATTATGTTCATAACGTTTCCATTTTCTTGAAAATTAACAAACAAGTTTATTTTAACTACAGTTTAGTTGAATATATTTAGAAGATACACCTCTATTTCTTTCAGTTTAGGCTATGTTCAGAATTTAATACAAATCAAGACTTATCATCACAGAGCATTTCTTAACTAAAAGTTTTGAATACAATCACATCTTTCTATTTCTCTATTAGTTGATCAAAAGCCAAACCACTTTATATCAGTAATTTGACTTGTCTATTTTGTTTTCTCTGTTGGAAGTACATAGATTTTATAATATATTTTTATTCTTTTTACATTGTATTTATAACCAAATAACTTAGATCTGCTAAGCCGCTAGACACAAGCTTATTAACAAATTATCTTCAAGTATGTTTCTTTAAATATCCGGGATTAGCATCCTTTATATATGATTTTGACAATATTTACATACAACTCAAATTATTGCTATCACTTGGATAACAAAGAAGAAATAGTTTTTATATATGACACCAAATAAGTATATATATATATGTATATATATGATCACTGATTCCAATAGCTAAGGCATTGTAAAATGTCCTTTTTATTAGATTCAGATTTTTAGCAAAAAAAATTTATAGCCAAGCACATTCCTCAAGTTGCCTTCAAGATAATGGAAGTCAGTTAAATTCTGGTTAATTTATTTGTTGTTTTTCAGAATCTCATCCATGTTTTCTGTTAAAAAAATCTTTCAAATTTGTTTCCTATGCAGATTAAAAATATTTTTGGTAAACATCATTAGTAAAATAAAAATAAAATAAAAATTCATGTTTTTTTTTTTTGTTGTTGAGCAAAGATCTTTAGAATTTTATGTTCAGTAACTGAACCAAGGCAATTTTGAAAAATCTCACTGCACATATAGCTGAAATATCTGCGGATATTAGTGTTGTTCGTTATGTTGAACACAAGTGGCCTAAATGCTCCCTCATTCATCATTGTGCAATAAGCTGTTCATTTTGCTGGCATAAATTAGTTTTAGGAGTACCAGGGGGAACAGCTGAAGTTTGTAAGTCTGTTGACTTCACCAGGAACTTCCAAAATGATATTCCCATAGAAACAGATTTGGAGCCATTTTACAATGCTTCTAATGAAACTTTGTCACTCACTTACAAAACATTTTGTATCAATTTCTATATTGCAGAAATGCAGTTTTAATGGAAAATGATGATTGTATTCTTGGTTTTCAATGTGATCTGAAAAAAAGAGAGATGCAAAATAAATAACATAAGAAAATTATAATTGATTTGTAAATATATATTTCATTTACTCTTTTAGGTGTAATATTCCAAAATATAAATTAAATACTTTCATTTTGTGATAATAAATTACAGAAAAGGTTTTTATATTATTTATCATTATACAAGTTAACCCATAACATAAAAAAATGACAGTATACTTTGTTAAATCCTTACTATTTGCAACTTAAAATTGTTACTGTTACCTTAAAACTGCTTTATAATTTTTTTAATGTGGTCAAAAGAAATTAACAACTCTGTTTTCAGGACACAATTTCTGAGTAGGCATTTTTCCCCCTCTGCTTTGAGCTTTCAACGATGGACCTTTTGGTGCATGTCAAGCAGAGTTTTGCTGGACTGGGGAATCAGTTGATGCTTATGACAACAACATCAGGAGATTGGCAGGATTCCAAGGAAGAGGCCTCAACAAAATGTTAAAATGGGCCTTTGTGAACAGTTTCCCGATCGCATCTCCAAAGCCCTCCAGCAGCTCCATGGAATAAGTTCGATGAAAGGGTGATAGCCAGAAAAAAGGAACAAGAGTTAGAAAATGCTGCCATTGCTGGCTGAAATAGCTTGTGGTCAAAAGAAATTAGCAACTCTGTTTTTGGGACTCTACACTGGTCTCTTGGTATTTTCTTCATTCTCTTTCCTGTATCTGCTTCATCATTCATTCATTCCTCCCCTGCCTGTCAAAATTGTATGATGTACTCCAAGAGAGTGTTCTCTCATCTCCACAATGGTCTATTTGTAATGGGAAATCACCAATCACCCACCCGGATGATAGATATATGGACACCCCAGAATGGAGTAGCAATGTACCCAGATGTCCCTTCTCATGATTCTATCCAACCACAGTTAATTCTATACTTAATCTCACATACAGTATAATTAATGTTATTTCAATGACATGAACCAGATACTAGAAGAAAAACATTAATAAAAATATAAGGAAGTCTAAGAATATTATTGACTTAACACTGTTTAAGAACTATTAAAATATTTCAAGTATCATTTATTTTACTTTCTAATGATTAAGCCATCATGTTTTGGGATTGTAAAATATAGGTAACTAGTGCTATATGTTTAGTCAGTTATGTTCCATATTGCCTATATCTACAAATGCTCCCATTCCTATCAGTTATGTGCCATGCATGATACATGCTTAGGCGATCATGTATCTTTCGATACATGACTGACGAGGCAGATTTTTTCCTGCAGTATGTTGCCATTTCTTCCTGCGTTAGACCAGTTGCCATCCAATGCTATAGAACCTGGTCTATCCTGCTATTCACCCATAGCTGGGGGGAGAAGAAGAGAATTCATACCATTCCCAAGGGTATTAGCATGTAAATGAATGTAATGGATTAAATTGGAATTCAAACTTGGCTCTCTGATTCCTCAATCCGAGGCACTATCCATTACTCTGCCATGCCTAAAGCTATAAAAACCTTTTAAATTTTTTTAAATATATAAATTTTTTCTGGAACCAAGCTAAATTTTTAATTTTTTTTTATCTGTACAAATAAATTATTTATCGTAATTTACAGCTGGACCTCACCAAAATTAACTTGGTCTTTGGAGTGTGAACAAGTAAATAGATATTTTTTTTTATTTTTAATATATAATTATTTTATATCTTCAGAAGTAAATTAGATCTACATTTTTACTTTTATAGATTTTTACTTTTATACACTACCCTCTTATTAAATACTCCAATCAATATATTTTTCAGTATTAAAAATTTTCTGAAAACACTTACATGATAAGTAAATACCAAATAGATCATGATAAATATTTTTAAATTTTATATCTCTGTTAATATCATTCTAAAGAAAAAATAATTAATTAATAAATTTACTTACTGTTTCAAGGAAAGCCATTGTGTGAGGGATGAAATGAAATTTTCATCTTCCTGGAAAATTGCCTGCCAATTTTATATATGCTTAAAGCAGTATGAATCTCTTTTTATAGACAGACAGAAATTTGCAACTGATGACATGAGTAGAGGGAGAGAAATAGTGACAACGTTTTGCACATAAGATGCAAATATGTAAACAAGGGAGACAACAACATGGTGGTGTTTGCATAAGTTCTTTTCATGGTTGAGTAAAATGCATGATGAATAATCTCAGTTGATAATGAGGGTAGACAAGTGATAGCAACACATCATTTTCTTCACTAGATAGACAATGCATTGACAAAAAAAAAAGATAGCAACAAGATGTTCTTCAGTCAGTGTAGAATGCATAGACAAAGATTATAGAAACAACATACTGTGTTTAGCTGGATGAACGATATATAGATTGTAACTTTCATGACAACTGGATTTGCTGACAATGTTCTTCAGTGACTCTTAAATTGAAATACACAAGTCAAATAGTAAAATGCTGTTCATCAGATAGTGTACAAGATGAAGACAAAATAGCAAATTTCTCCTTTGCAGTTGAAGGGTGTATGCATAAAGTAGATAGTAATACATTGATCTTGTTATGAGATGTGTAGACATGACATGTAAAATGTTTTTTGGAGAATATATAATGTTTAGGCAAAAGAGTTTCCAGATATAGAATGTATGCACATAAAATATATCATCATTGCTCTTCAGTTAATATAAGATAAATGAAAGTAGGTTTTAAAAAAATTTTCAGTGGATGTAAGATGTATATGCTGCACAGTGTATTGACAAGAAAAACAAAGTTTGTTTTTTTTTTTTTTTTTATGCTAAAGTAAAATTATAGGGACAAGTTAGCAACACATTGTCTGACAAAAAAAAAATTTGAGCATGCAGAAGAAAAATGGATAGAATGTAATGTATATGTCACTTTTTTCTTTTAATTTCAGCTGAAGAATTGTGGGCAAGAAAAAGGGCAAAAATTGCCCATATAATGGATCAGATGTATATCATTGTTTTAAAGAAACAGGGAAGCAAACCAACATAGAAACAGAGGTAGATGTAATGTTCATAGAAATTATTTCCAATACAGAAGCTATTAATACATAACACGAACACAGGAAATATCTGCTTTAACGATTTGAAATTTTTTTTTGCAATGAGTATTTTTAACTGCTGTAGTTGGTCATTGAAATATGGTCCATACAAATAAAAGAATTAATAAGATTTAGCTGAAGACTTGATAAGTGTTGTTTTAGGTATTTTTTTTTTTGTTTTTTTGTTTTTGTCTTTTTTTTAAATTTTTACAAATAGAAGGTTGAAGAAGAGGGTAGGTGGATGAATAATAAAATACAATTTAAACCAGAAATAGATGTGAACAATTTTCAAAGGTTAGGTTTTACTGTAGACTATACGGAGATAAGTATTAAGCAATATATTCCATTGAATCCTTTTGATTTTCTTTATGCTTCTCTTGCTGAGAATTCTGTTTATTCAGTAACCTGGAGTGGGGTTGATATGAGAAAATATGAAAATTCAGATTCTGCTGCCATTGTTTCTTGAAACTGACTCATGGGTATCAAATCAGGAAGTTCAGTCTATAAATTAGAAAAATGAAAGCAACATTTTCTATGAATATCTGATGCAACGGAATCACAGAACATGTCTTTCTATGAATTTCCATTCATTTGTTTCATGCAAAGAATATAATTTTGCTATGTTTAAATTTTTGCAGT